TAATAATACACACATACCGAGTTTTTAATATTTGTGCCCTATCCGGCTTTATTTTCAAGATTATCAGGCGTTTGTTATATCTTAGGTCTAAAAATGTTCGGACGCGGCCCGCAAGTTCGGGATCAATTACCCATAATATAAATAAAAATAAAAATTGTTCTAATCTATCCTCTATCGTTTTAATTAAGAGTAGTATCTTATCAAAATTTTATGAAAATTGAAGTGCTTTTATCCGAGTTATTAAATATTCACAGTGACTCACATTTGGATTGAACAACCTCTATATAATAGTACTATGTGAATATTTGTTAGTTTTGGAGGTATTAACAAGCCTTTATAATTATTTGCTTGCCTAAGTAATTTTTGATGTCGCTCAAGAATTTTAAAAACCCTAAAATACTTACATAAAAATCAATCTTTCTTTTCTAGTTTTGGTGGCGTCATTCAAATTAATGGATTTTCTCCAATTTCCAGTCCAAAATATGTAGGCACGTAGTACCTATTGAATTAATATTTAAAAGTCGCTCAAGAATTTTTAATATCTTCGGGCAACATTTAAATTAGGCTGCATTAACATTATGTCTTTGTTTTCTATTTACTTTTAGTTTACATTATTAAATATATTAATCCATAAACCATCCATAATTAATATAGTGTAGAAAAGAATTTCATGGTCAAAACTAAAGACCGAAGAAAAAAATTGTTGTTTCATTACTTTTAGCATTATTAAAATTCGTAAGCAACCATTAAGAAACTAACCAAATTAACAATTAGAAAGACTGTTTTAACCATGCCCCCTACCAAAGTATGGTAATTTTCCCTGATTTCAGGCACGAAAACGCAACATTCCCAAGGGAGAACTCCATACTTTCTTCCCTTTACGTTTTTTATGGTAGGCCTTTCTCATACCAAATATTTCCAAAAATGAAAGTTTTTGGCTTCATGGAACGTTTGAAAGTAATATTATCAACATCTAAACTGTTGCTTAGCGTCAAAAACAAACAAATCTTCATACAGACTCAACAAACAAAAATAGATACATAAAATAGGTCAATTTAAAGGTATAGCTAGGTGTGCTTTCTGTAATAAAGTACTTTATTGAATAAACGGAGAATTCCTACAACTTCTAATGACTATTGATTGATTTTGATGACTTTCCACGAGGTCTTTAACGCTGAGCGTTTCCGTGAATACGAAATTCTTAGTAAACAACATTGGTAAAAGTAGATAAATAATATTTCATTATACAGCATGGAAAAGACATACTTTTCGATGCAATATAAGATGTACTGTCCAACAGAATTAATTATAATTTAAAATTAACGAATCGCGACAGTTGACCGAGGAGATACTGAGGACAGTGAACCATACTTCCCGTATCGCGTGAATCATGTTAACCTTGACTGAAAACAACGGATAGTTATCCTACGTTTTATTACGTATATCATTATCAGAGCCGATAACATTCATAATTATAATTCTAGGGGAGATGGGTCTCGGCTCCATTTTTACCAACAGGCGAATTTGTATGCGCCCAATTAATCGAAATTTAGTCGATTGATCGGAACAAGTAATCAATTAATCAAATTTTTCATTAGGGAAATAGATAATCATTTGAAGGTAGGTAATACTTTTTTCGCTGCATATTGCTTTTGAAGATGTTGGTTTTGAATCCAGAAAATTTATTGTTTGCCTAGGTGATTTAGAATATTAGAAAGTACATGTGAGATAAATAATTGTAATAAATATTAAAACTTTCTTACATTAAATAATACTTTTATTTAGGTATTACGCGACAAGTTTAATATTAAGACAACAAAATTTTATATTTATAACAGGTAAATTTGCATAAAGAACACATTTACATAATACATACATGATTAGTTACTAAATTTCTTATCCTCCAAATTAATTATTTACTTATCCATATCAATAAAGTTAGGCGTTTTAAAGTAAAAACAAATACCCGCATAATGCGTATGCTAATTTAAATATGGAATCACAGAATTCGGTATCATGCTTTTACGATTAAAAGGGACAATAAAAAAATTTAATCAACAAGAGTTGGGCTGTTTTTAATCATTATGCAATAATTTCTAAATCTAGGTAGGTTTAATTCACGTTGTCATTAATAAGAAGATAATGATGGATAATTAAAGTAAAATAGCAAAATCACTCTTGATCTTCAACATTTTATTGTGATTTGTGATAGCAACAACATCCTAAGAGACCAACTTAGAAGCTATTGTAGTGTTGATCTTTTCTGTTAATAAATAATTACCTACCTATGTAACACTTATGTGATTAAAGAAATTTCATGTATTTTAATGATTCATTTTTCCATACATGATTTTAACAAATCATTTAATCAATCACCATCAATTAAACATATATTTGAAAACCAATAGTTTGGGCAAAACAAGGAGAAAATAAAATATAAATTTCATTATTGTAGGTACGTATTTGATTATAAGACCGGTTAAATTCACGATCATTTAGCGTTGCTCTTTCCATAGCTGACATGCAGGTATATAAAATAATAAAAAACTGAATAATAAATCTCTACACTAATGATTAGATCCTTGTTATCACTATTTGAAATAAAGGATCAAATTTATTATGAAAATATTTTTAACCTGGATAGTTACATTTTAGTGTACATTTAAGATGTTGCTATCTATAAAATATATAAGTACTTATCCTTCATGTGTATTTTTATTTTATCATTTTATCAAATGTCTACTAAGCACGCGTTTTATAGATTATATGGCCAGTTAAATTTCAGGTTTACTTAGCATTGCCTTCACCATAACTGATGCCATGTTTCCAAACAGTAAAAACAAAATTAAAACAAAAAAAGGCATGATTATGTGTAGATCTCAATGAATGCTAACGGCAAACCAGAAAGGTTTGCCATTTTTGACAAAAAAAACTTAAATAATACAACATAAATATTCATATTAATCTAAACTAGTAAATAAAGGCAATCATGAGTCAAATTCCTAGAGACGTGTCAATGGTGGAAAATGTGCATATGGAAAATAGAATGAGTGATAATTTACCTCAAACCAAACGATGTTCTGCAAGTGCATTGCACATAAAAAAATAACGTTAACAAAGAAAGAATGTGGGTTTTAGTCAGGGTAGAAACAAAATTCCTTGACAAAGGGCATATAAGTTATTTACAACTGTCTGTCGCTAAAGATCTTCATGGAGGAAACTTACCACTTTCAATATAGGGAACCAGCAGGAGTATAAAGACGATATATACAAGATCACTTAACATTGTCAAAAACAAAGCCCCACAACACCACAAAAACACACCCAAAACTGACTATGCCATTTCTGTTAAATTTACAGCTGATGGCCCGTACACAACACCAACACAGAACCTTTGTTTAACATGAACTGCACGCATGCGTCTTTTAAAATATTTCCAATTAATAAAAGATAATCAGCGTTAAAACAACGAATCACTGTTTAACATATCATTAGAAAATATGTCTCATTTATAAAAATGTACAAACAAATGATGCACACACCACCATTGTTTGTCGATAACTGATGATAATAATAATTTAAAAGTAGTTGATTGGTTTGGATTTTATCGAATAGAATTCAATGTTTTGTACATCTCGCACCATCTAACGGTGAGCTTTGTAGCATATTTTCCATATTTTTAACGTGTGGTAAAGAATACTATATAATTTTAAAATTTTTAAATTTAAATTGATAGGAATTCAACTATTTAATATAAAAACACTAAACTATTCGAATATATGAAAGCTAAGCAACTTTATGGAAAGTACGGTTTAATTTTTCACTTATTATAACTACTTTTGTAAATAAAACCAAAAGGTGTATAAAAAAGCATTTAATTAGAAATTAAATAATTATAAGTATAAAAGTAACATAAATATAATAAAATAACAAGCGCAGAAATCAAGAGCAAAATTGGTATAAATATTTGTGCATTTTAGTGTAGTTTATTCTTTTTTATGTATAGTGTTATCAATTAATAAGTTCACATTATTATATCACTTTGTTTTAGTGTCCAAGAGGACAATAAAAGTCTCTTTTTAAGTTAAAGCTTTGTTAACACTTTTAGAAACTGGCTTTTTGATGTTCATTAGTGTGCACAAATTATTGCGAATTTCTCGTAAGTTTTCCAATGGCTCTTCCCAGTTTGTCATGCTCAAAATGTTCATAATTTCGTCTAAATTTTCGGAAGGAATGACCGAGTTATCACCATAAACCAAAAGGGCTTCGTACAATTTTGTGGCTGTTGAACGTCTTATATAAATTTGTCGATGGCACAACAAAATACTAAGCTGGACCAGGGCGGTACTGCAGACTTCACTTCGTACCTAATTTTTGTATTTATGTAAAATTAAACTTTCTTATTATTTTTTACAAAATTAATATTATTAGAGGCAAAAAGAGAAAAGTAAGAGGCATTTAAGAATAACAAAAGGTAACATATGAAGATAAGACGCTTAAGGAGACGTAAATTCAAAACTAAACATACCTGAATGAATTGGCAAAGAACGTCAATTCCATCGACCAACTTGTAAACATCTCTACATCCAGCTATTTCTAATTGAACTAATTTTAAAATTTTCTTAGCAAAATCCGACTTTTGAAAGTCCAAAATGTTTGTTAAACATCCAGAAGTCATTATCCTGCTAAGAAATCTCAAAATTGACACGGTAATCCTATCAACTTTTTGATAATTATGGAATATTTCAGAAATAGTTTCACACACTCTCTGGATCTCTTCTAAGCCCTTTTTCTTTTCTTGTTCTTTTAAATACGTAAACAGAGCACTACTAGAATTTTTTACCTAACAACAAAAAAACGTAATTAACAGAAAATATACTCAAAAACATAAAACTTACTAAAGTTTCAGTCATACCACCAACACTAGTTATTATTCCTAACATAAGATTATAAGTAAATTCCTCCAATTCTATTAACTGAACGAACTTGGGAAAGGTACTATTTGCAGAGTGCCAATTAAGGGCATCACATTCTTCCTGGGAAAATATTCCAACTAATACGTCGTGGTGGGGGATGTTTGGTACTCTAGGATCACTGCACAAATTTAGTCATGAAACAAAAAGATAGTAATAATTATTCAATTTAAATTAAATAGTAATGCACCTGTGTATAATGTTGGAAAACATTTTCCCTGCCAAAGCTCTGGTTCTATCAATTTTTTCAACAGCCTGTTGGGCTAAACCAGCCACAACTTTTGTCACGACTTGTGAGGTTAATAAATGGGGACATTTTTTTGCTAGCAAAAGAGTCATAGTCTGGAGGCCGGACATTGAGGCTTCTCGCACCCAAGCCCCAATGTCACCCCTCTTGTCTTGAGTATATTCTGACAAACCAGTAAAATACACTTCATATATTGCCATTATATCGTTGCTACTTATCTCTGCAATAAATATCCAATGTCTAATAATAAAATAGAAACAAAATTTTAACCAACCTTTTCCCAATTCATCCTCTAAAGTGCAACAGATCGAATTGATGGCTTTGATAATGTCCCGTCGACTTTCTGACCATTTTTGAGTATGCTGATCAATACACATGGCTTCAATGAGGCCAGCAAGTATAATGTTTAAATGGGGCTTCAACATAAAATCTGGTAGCATCCCAAGAGCTAAAGAATAGCCCATTCTGTTTACTTGACTAGGAGATTTCATTTCCTTCACATATCTGGTCACTATCATTTCCTTTTTGGCCAATAAATCTACTGAATCACCTTTGAAATATTCAGAAAAGAATGGTAGAAGTGCATGTACTGCACAAGTGCGAATTATTTGCACCTCATACGATAAGCAGTCATTTAGTAGAGATAGCCAATCTTCTGCAACATCAAAAATATTGAATGTTATTATTCCAAAAAATATCTATGCAGTAATAGAATACTTTATTTTAATAATTATTATTAATAAAAATCAAAATACCTATAACTTTGGTGTTATGGAAAGGCATATGTGCCAAAGAACACTTTTCAATGAGATTAGAGCAAGCCTGACGCATTAATTCACCTCCCATCCCTCTAAAGTACAATCGTTCTTGAAAATTCCTGATCAAACATTCCACTTGTTTGAACGTTTCGACTGTAACGAGGTCTTCCATCTTTACGCCTTTATCTTCGCTAAGACGTGAAAGAGCCAGAAGGATCTCACCAATCGCCAGGATTGCTCCATGTCTACTATTTAAGTCAATACTAGTTGCTTTTTCAAAAAGCGAGGGTAAAACTTTTTTTGCCATGTATTCTGGAGCCTAGCACAAAAAATAAAGTTACTCAAACAACAATTAACTTTCTTTTGAACTAGAAACAGACAAACGCTTTTGTGATGTAAGTACGAAAAGTAATGTTACATAAACTATAATATCAGTACGTGCAATAAATCCGATTATATCATTTAAAAGTGAAATACAAACCGAAGGGGTGAGATTATGGAAGGCTTTCGCGGTCAGTTCCCTAACGGCGATATCCCAGTGATCCACCTTTCTGTCAATAAGATGTGTAATTAACGTCATAGTATATTCATTGAACTGGGCAATGTATACACTAATATTGAGGTAAGCATTGCTACGAATGCTCACAGCATAAAAGTCGGCGACAGTAACAATGTCTATACCATGAGGAAAAGTACCCTGACGTCCTACATTCTCTTGGAAGGCCGCTGCAGCCGCCCTTCTACAGTTAATCTACCAGAAAGACAAAAATTAGTTTTAAAAATTGCAAAGTAATTTATATGTGTAACAGATACAAGGGAAAAATAAAACACTAATTAATTTCAAAGTGTTTTCAGTATTTATTCAAAAGGTTTATAATCAATATCAGTAGTAGAATGCAATACTTTTCTCCTTCTTAATTTGTGTTCAGTAAAGCAAATTAGTAAATTTTTGATCATACCCGATACTATTTAAAACAACAAGCAATAATAATACACACATACCTCTCTGTCAAAACAAGTGGCAACTAAAAGAGCACTCGCAATCTGGTTTACGAAGGGTTTTAATACTGATGTGTCGTAAGCCCTGGCGAAAGACCAACAAAGATAGCACGCAGCATCCCTTACGTGAGAGCCCACTGATGAATAACCGCGAGGTTCATCGTAAAAAAGTGCCTTTTGGATCACTGGAATGACTTCAGGTAATCGAACTGGTAAAAGAAGACCCCTTCTTCCTGTACAATTGAAAAAATAAAACGTTGTAGACTTAGGATTACTTTTAAATAACGCTACTTTTTCAATACCTAACTCAGCTAAAGCTAAACAACCCCCATGCCAAGCAGCATCACCTTCTCGAGGATTAAAACTCTCTAAAATTGTTCCCACAACTTCGTCGGCCAAATCTTTAGGCAAACGACCAGTTACTCTTCCTATACCTTTTGCAGCAGACCACCTGGAGTTCCACTTATAATGTAATTATTGTACAGAAAGATGAATTAAGAAAATTTTACTTTTTGTTGTCATAAAAATTACTGAATATATTAATAGGAATAAATTACCCTATTAATTACCTTACAACACTGTTGTTGCATGCAAGGCCATGAATAAGTTGATCTATAACTTCTTCTACTTCATCTGGTACTTCAATGTTTTCTTCTTGTTCATTAGAATCAGTTGGAGAGGATGGTGAAAGGAAATCTTTTTCTCCATCACCTGCACTTAGATTAGATGCCAATGACCGATTGCCACGTTGATATCTCCATGAAGCAATCCTCACAGGTAAAAATGTTAAACCTTCAAAAGAGAAATTAAACACATACTTATCCAAAATTTACTCTAAAGTTCAACATACCTATTCTCTGAATGTTTTTGTAGACTAACTTCTGAATGTTAGTACCAGGGTCATTTTTAAAATTGGCAGAAATTATCCACTGCAATAAATTACCAACATGAGCAACCAAATCTTCTCGTTTGCCATACTTTAAAATCATAGCTATTGATGCTAAACACCCAGATTTCACAAAAACGGAGCTTTCAGGATTGGTACTTATCTCATAAGTCCAATTGAAGTACGATTTCAAATAATGTTCTTTAGTATCAGATCTGTAATTGTAATGAAATCATATGTACTGATTAGAACAAAAAAAATTGCTTTATTTTACTGCCCATTTAATATGTATAATTAAGGATATTATGGGAATTAACAATACTATTGTGAGTACATTAGGTACTTAAATTACCTTGTTAAAAACCTGGCACTTAAATATGCTGCAGCATCTCTACATTTATCAGGCACAACAATGTATACTTTGCACACTTCAAACACCCTCTGCATAACAGTCTTTTTATTATCATTTGAGTTAGTAAATCCATCTAAACGAGACATATGAAATGGAATCATAACAATTATTGAGAGCCACAACAGAAGAACGTATCTTGTAAACCAAGTATCTGAATCAGATGGGTCCTGCTGTTCAAGCATTTGGAGAACAGGTTCAAAATCAGCAACCTAGTATATAAACCCATTCAATAATTTATTTCTTTATTTAGAAAACCACTTACCTCATGTGGTAAACGTTTAACAACGTCTTTGTAACCTCTAACACTAATAATAACATGCATGTATTTAAACACGGCATGTTTTAATTCAGGTGGGTTAGATTGGTCTCTTATTAAAGCAATACATTTCTCTAATAAAACTTCGAGATGAGAATCTAAAAGATGTGGTTGTTCTTGATACTGAGTAAGAATGTACACAAACCGTTCGTATGCTCTTTCAAACACAGATATTGGGGCTGACACAACACTTTTAATTGAATCAATCATGTTCATTACTTCCACCGATTCGGAAAACAACTCCAAAGCGCACCCCAAACCAAAAGGCTCTTCATCTTTTTGATTTTCATCAGATTTTTCTACATCAGTTGACATTTCACAAGTTTATTTGCACCAAAAAAGTAGTCAAAAAGCGAGGTTAGAGCAGGTTAGAGTTCTCACAACCATCGAGTAATAAGCTACAATTTTTCTATGAACGACATTCGCACCACCTATCGAAAACATTGAAAAACTATTTGAAATATTAATTTTGTGTATTTTACTGTTTAAGTGTTTTACAATTATATAAGCAATATTTTTAAGAGAAATAACTTCAGACGAAGTAACTGTTATACTATCTAATATTCTAAAGTGATTTTAAAATCTATTACTTTTTGTACATCTCAATAAACACTATTTAATATAAGTAATATTTCGCAGCGATTTTTGCGCTCCACAAAGTTGATATTCTCTAAAAAGTTTTAGAAATTTGCAAAAAAGTTTATATTTAAGATTATCTTCTTAAGAGAAATTTAATTATGCCTGAAGGGGTGTTCCTTGAGTTAGTTACTCTCATGATTTTATAAATAATATAGCAGCAATCTTATTTTTGCGCTTTATGTTTTTGAAATGATCAACCCATCGACAATTGTGTAAAAGATGAAAATTAATCAATTTACTTCAATGAAACCGGAATTATAGCTCAATTGTAGCCTTTATTTTAAAATGTCCCGGCGCCTCCACCAAAATTTTTAATAATTTTGTAATTGCTAATGTGTGTATATTTTTATAAATGTCTTATTTCCAAAATTAAACCAATCGTCTACAAAATGAAAAATCTAAAGATTATGAAATTTTATCCTTTTTGTTCGCGAACAAAATCGTTCAAAAACTCAAAATCCATTTCATTGTATAGTAGAAATATTTAAAGTTTTAGCAAATTTGCATTGAGTTTAACTTAATAAAAAAATTAATATTGACTATTACAAATTTCTAATATTTTTTCGTTTGTACATGTAACTCCTAATTAATAAAAGAACTCAAGGTTCGGAGTGTTTGTAGGAATTCGTTTGTATAAAAAGGATCACGAAAGTATTGTGAAATATGTAGATATAGATGTGGAAACATTCGGCTCTGTTTACCCAGTCTGTTCACGTCGCTGAATGAAAAGCAATATTGTTTAGATCATTTTTATTGGCTGAGGCATTTATTGTACATTTATATTACTGTAGTATAACATAGGTCTGAAGAGAGAAACCCCATACTCTTAGAGCCGACTTTGCAGCCTCTATCAGTCCTCGTTTCAACTATCATTCACACATTTAATATATATATTTATATATAATACAGTACAGTTTTTATGTAATGTAAGAGCTATATAGTAAAATATATCATTTATAATAATCGATTACAAGGCGACCACAAGACCAATACCGACGTCTTTTGAAGGCTAACTGAGTTGATCTATATTAACAATCTAGTTACAAAAATAGTTAGGCCGGCTCATGACTGTTTTTTTTTCTTATGAACTGAGTTCGACCCTGCAGTCGCCCTTATCATTATCGTGAAGGGAGAATTAGCAGGAAGGGAGCATCATAGGGAATCATCGACATCCTGGACTTCACAGGTGAAAGATAGAGGACGTTGATAAGAGTTTAGATGAAGGACGGGACATGGATCGACATAGTGCCTACCCTAAGGTGCGAGGGGTGTAAAAACTACCCCGCTCTTTTAGCCTTTCATTACAGCCAAACAGATGGAGCACATTTTACACCCTTGTGCGTTGGTGCACTGTGACACATAT